TGTTTTTCACCCAAGAAATCCCACAAAAAAACTGTGTCAGCTCTGAATTTCCCACCAACCCCAACCCCAACCCTTCAGCCCCATTCCCGTGGGGAATCACCTCGGAACTCCATGCCAGCAGCATCCTCCAGCAGCTCCTCCTTCATGTTGCCCAGCGTCTCCACGATCACGTCCTTCATCTCCTCCTGCTTKCGGTTGGCGATGCCCATCAGCGACTCGTAGAGCTCGTTCTCCTTCCTCCGCGTGTACTCCAACCTTTTGGGGGTGATCTGCAGATCCCTCTGCATGTCGAAAGCCTGGTCGATGAAGATGTTGAGGCAGCGGCAGTGCAGCTCGTTGAGCCTCGTGGCAGCCTCCACCAGGTGCTCTTGGAGCAGCTGCCGGCAGAAAACGCTCAGGAGCCGCAGTTTGTCCGGCTGCTCCGCCAGCGAGCTCCGAGCTCCGCCGCAGCCGCACGGAGGCTCCGAAGGGCTCAGGTAGCCCAGCTCCAGCAGCTGAGAGCGGAGGGAGGATTTCTCCTCTGGGAGTGGTTTTTTGGGAGATGTCAGCTCGGGGTCGGGGGAGCACAAGAAGAAGATGGGGAGGGAGAATTTGGCTTTGATTTGCCGCAGCTCTGCCTGATCCGCCGGGGAGAGCTGGGGCTCGCTGATGGCGAAGGTGACCACGGGCAGCACTTGGGGCACCAGCTCGGCCAGGGTGGCTTCAGCTGGCTGGAAGCTGCGGCACGGAGCCACCACGATGTCCACTTCCTGGGGAAAAAAAAAAAGAGGAGGTTTGGAGAGGTTTTTCCATGGAAAAATGCTTCGAGATTCATTGATGAAGAAAAAAGCGGAATTCTTCAAAGCAGATCCCTGAATAATTCCAAATTGCTGATTCTGGATCAAGGGACTGGTGCTGCTGGGATGAAAAATCTCAGCTGACCTTCCCAGTTTTAGTAACAGCAGAAAACAGAGCATTTTCCTTTAAAAATATTCCTTAAAATTCAGATAAACTTGGATCTTCCTTCAAATTCACATAAATTTTAATCTTCCCTTAAATTCACATAAATTTTAATCTTCCCTTAAATTCACATAAATTTAAATCTTCCCTTAAATTCACATAAATTTTAATCTTCCCTTAAATTCACATAAATTTGAATAGTCCTTTAAATTCACATAACTTTGAATATTCCTTTAAATTCACATCAGTTTGAATATTCCTTTAAATTCATATCAACTTGAACCTTCTTTTAAATTCAGATCAATCTTTCAGATTTATGGATTAAAAATACTCCCAAGGAAGAGATCAAGGCACATTCCCCCAAATTTTAAGGCGATGAATTATCCCTAAACCACGTCCTTTGCCACTGGGAACAACAAATAATTCCTGGGATTTCAATCCCTGCTGAGGGAACACAAAATAAATCCAAATTAATTCAACTCCTCCTTAATTTTCCAGTTTTGTCAGAGCAGCTGGAAGATTTTTCTCTCCCTACAATTCTTAAAACTCTCCAGAAAAAAGGGAATAATCCCCAGGAAAACCATCCCAGCTTCCAGGCTGACAGGATTTAGGGAAGGAGCCAAATCCCATAATCTGTCTGGCCCGGTGGATTATTCCCCATGACCCCGACGCATTCCTAAAATCCCAAAGGAATAGGGCAGCTCTGCCAAGGGTTTTCCGGCCCCGAKAGCTGAGGTTTAAAAATATCCTGGCAGCACTGGGTTCCCACAGCTGCCATCCCATGGGAATGGGATTTGTGGCTTCCTCTTTGTGGGAAATTTGGGATTCTGAAATCCTGCGGGAAGGGAAAAGCCAGGATGGTGCCATTTCAGTGCCATCCCAGATTTCAAGTTGGAGAAAAATCCCTCGGGGTGCTGGATGCTTGACATCAAAACCATAAATATTTGACATTTTTAACTGAATTTATCAATCAAATTTATCTCCAAATTTTAAAAAAGAAGCTCAGCTCTGCCACCCTCTGAGCAGTGTCAGGGCTGCTAAGGGCCACCTGCCAGGTGCCACTGCCAGTGCCACCATTACCTCGAGCTTTGTCACCCTCTGGGCAGGATCAGGGCTGCCAGTGTCACCTCCCAGATGCCACCACCAGTGCCACTGATACTTCAAGCCCTGCCACTCTCTGAGCAGGATCAGGGCTGCCAATGTCCCCTTCCAGGTGCCAGTGCCACCATCAGTGCCACCTTTACCTCGAGCTCTGCCACCCTCTGGGCAGGATCAGGGCTGCCAATGTCCCCTTCCAAGTGCCACCCCCAGCGCCACCATTATCTCGAGCTTTGCCACTCTCTGAGCAGGATCAAGGCTGCCAATGTCCCCTCCCAGGTGCCACTGCCAGTGCCACCATTACCTTGAGCAGCACCATCTCCAGCCCTGCCATCCAACCACCACCATAACCTCCCCACCCCACCCCCAACACCACCATAACCTCAAGCTCTGCCACCCTTGGGCCAGGATCAGGGCTGCCAATGTCGCCTCTCAAGTGCCGGTGCCACCCCCAGTGTCACCATTACCTTGTCCAGTGGAGACAGCAACATCACCTCCAGCCCCACCACCCTCTGAGCAGGATCAGGACTGTCACTGTCCCCTCCCAGGTGCCAGGGACAAGACCAGTACCACCACTACCTTGAGCTTTGCCACCCTCTGAGCAGGACGAGGCCTGCCAGTGTCACCTCCCATGTGCCACCGCCAGTCACTTCCCATGTGCCACCATTACTTGAGCAGCATCACCTCCAGCCCCGCCACCTTCTGAGTAGGATCAGGGCTGCCAATGTCCCCTCCCAGGTGCCAATGTCACCGTTACCTTGAGCAGCGGCGACAGCAGCACCACCTCTAATTGTGCCACCCACCAGGCAGGATCAGGACTGCCACTGTCCCCTTCCAAGTGCCAGCGCCACCCCCAGCGCCACCGTTACCATGACCAGTGGGGACAGCAGCATCACCTCTAACTGTGCCACCCTCCAGGCAGGATCAGGACTGTCACTGTCCCGTTCCAAGTGCCAGTGCCACCCCCAGTGTCACCGTTACCTTGAGCAGCGGTGACGGCAGCACCACCTCTAACTGTGCCACCCTCCAAACAGGATCAGGGCTGCCATTGTCCCCTCCCAGATGCCAGTGCCACCCCCAGCTCCACCATAACCTTGAGCTCTGCCACCCTTGGGCCAGGATCAGGGCTGCCAATGTCCCCACCCAAGTGCCAATGACATCCCCAGTGCCACCGTTACCTTGACCAGTGGGGACAGCAGCACCACCTACAACTCTGCCACCCTCTGAGCAGGATCAGGACTGTCATGGTCCCCTCCCAGGTGCCAGGGACAAGACCAGTACCACCACTACCTTGAGCTTTGCCACCCTCTGAGCAGGATGAGGCCTGCCAATGTCCCCTCCCAAGTGCCACCGCCAGTCACTTCCCACGTGCCACCATTACTTGAGCAGCATCACCTCCAGCCCTGCCACCCTCTGAGCAGGATCAGGGCTGCCAATGTCCCCTCGAGGGGTCCAATGTCACCATTACCTTGAGCAGTGGGGACAGCAGCACCACCTACAACTCTGCCACCCTCTGAGCAGGATCAGGACTGTCACTGTCCCCACCCAAGTGCCAATGACACCCCCAGCGCCACCGTTACCTTGAGCAGCAGCGATGGCAGCACCACCTCGAGTTCCGCCGCCCTCTGAACAGGATCAGGGCTGCCAATGTCCCCTCCCAGGTGCCAGCACCACTCCCAGCACCACTGTTACCTTGAGCAGCGGCGATGGCAGCACCACCTACAATTCTGCCACCCTCTAAACAGCACCAGGACCCCCAGTGTCCCCTTCCAGGTGCCACCACCAGCACCACCATAGCCTCGAGCTTTGCCACCCTCCGGGCAGGATCAGCACTGCCAGTGTCCCCTCCCAGGTGCCAGCACCAGTGTCACTGATATCTCCATATCTGCCACTCTCTGAGCAGGATCAGGGCTGCCAATGTCCCCTTCCAAGTGCCAGTGCCACCCCCAACACCACCATTACCTTGACCAGTGGGGACAGCAGCACCACCTCTAATTGTGCCACCCTCTGAGCAGGATGAGGCCTGCCAGTGTCACCTCCCATGTGCCACCGCCAGTCACTTCCCATGTGCCACCATTACTTAAGCAGCATCACCTCCAGCCCCGCCACCCTCTGGGCAGGATCAGGGCTGCCAATGTCCCCTCCCAGATGCCAATGTCACCGTTACCTTGAGCAGCGGCGACAGCGGCACCACCTCTAACTGTGCCACCCTCCAGGCAGGATCAGGACTGTCACTGTCCCCTTCCAAGTGCCAGCGCCACCCCCAGTGCCACCATTACCTTGAGCAGCGGGGACAGCAGCACCACCTCTAACTGTGCCACCCTCTAAACAGGGTCAGGGCTGCCAATGTCCCCTCCCAGGTGCCAATGTCACCCTTACCTTGAGCAGCGGCGACGGCAGCACCACCTCGAGCTCCGCCACCCTCTGCGCAGGATCCTCGGTGTCCCCATCCACCTCCAGGTCCTCCTCGGGGATGGTGTCCCAGTGTCCCCGGTGTGCCACCAGCGCCTGCACCAGCTCGTAGTGCCCAGGCAGCGCCAGGCTGAGCCGCGGCTGCGCCCCGTGGGTGAATCGGACGCGGCGCCGCCGGCAGCCGTTGTGGCCGTGCTCCCGGGGGCAGGGCAGCAGCTGCTGGCCCAGCAGGGCGTTCAGGAGCCGGCATTTGGCACCGCAGCTCTGGCCCAGCAGCAGCAGGCACGGCGGGCGGCTCACGGCGCGCTGCAGCCGCTCCTCGTCGGGCCGCGGGAACGAGATCGGGCTCTCACCTGCCATCGGGGAGAAAACACCGTGAGATTTCAGGCAAAATTCACATGGATTTTCCTCTTTCTCTGTTTTAGGTGCTGAGCTCTTCTAAATTAATTGAAATCTTTAAAATATCCTGTTAAAATCAATGGGATGGTTGGACAGACTCTTTGTGCTGCAGGAACAAGATCAGGCTCTGACCTGGAACTGGGGAATAAAAAACCACTGAGAATGCGGGGATTTCAGGGAAGATTCACATGGAATTCCTCCCCTCTCTCTCTGTTCCAGGTGCTGAGCAATTCCAAATTAATCAGAATCTTTAAAATATCCCGTTAAAATCAATGGGATCATTGAAGAGGCTCTTTGTGCTGCGGGAACAAGATCAGGCTCTGACCTTGGATCGGAGATTAAACACCGCGAGAATGGCGGGATTTCGGGGAAAATTCACAGTGATTTTCCTCTTTCTCTGTTCCAGGTGCTGAGCTCTTCCAAATTAATCAAAATCTTTAAAATATCCTATTAACATCAATGGGATGGTTGCACAGGCTCTTTGTGCTGTGGGAACAAGATCGGGCTCTAACTTGCCATCAGGGAGAAAAAGTGGTGAGCACGGGGGGATTTCAGGGAAAATTCACAGTGATTTCCTTTCCTCTCTCTCTCTGTTTCAGGTGCTGGGCTCTTCCAAATTAACCAAAATCTTTAAAATATCCCGTTAAAATCAATGGGATCGTTGGAGAGGTTCTTTGTGCTGTGGGAACAAGATCGGGCTCTGACCTGGGATGGGGAATAAAAACCGTTGAGAATACAGGGATTTCAGGGGAAATTCACAGTGATTTTCTTCTTTCTCTGTTTCAGGTGCTGAGCTCTTTCAAATTAATCAAAATCTTTAAAATATCCTATTAACTTCAATGGGATGGTTGGACAGGCTCTTTGTGCTGTGGGAACAAGATCGGGCTCTAACCTGCGATCGGGGAGAAAACGCAGTGGGAATGGGGGGATTTCAGGGAAAATTCACATGGATTTCCTTCCCTCTTTCTCAGTTTTAGGTACTGAGCTCTTCTAAACTAATCGAAATCTTTAAAATATCCTGTTAAAATCAATGGGATGGTTGGACAGGTTCTTTGTGCTGCAGGAACAAGAACTGGAGATTAAAAACTGCTGAGAATACAAGGATTTCAGGGAAAATTCACAGTGATCGCTTTCTCTCTCTGTTCCAGGTGCTGAGCTCTTCCAAATTAATCAAAATATTTAAAATATCCTATTAACATTAATGGGATGGTTGGACAGGCTCTTTGTGCTGTGGGAACAAGATTGGGCTCTGACCTGTGATTGGGGAGAAAACGCAGTGAGAATGGGGGAATTTCAGGGAAAATTCACAGTGATTTTCCTCTTTCTATGTTTTAGGTGCTGGGATCTTCCAAATTAAGATCTTCAAAATATCGTGTTAACTTCAGTGGATGGTTGGACAGTTTCCTCAAACTGCAGGAATAAGATCAGGCTCTGACCTGGAATTAGGGATAAAACACTGCTGAGAATGAAGGGATTTCAGGGAAAATTCACAGTGATTTTCTTCTTTCCCTGTTCCAGGTGCTGAGCTCTTTCAAATTAATTAAGATCTTTAAAATATCCTGTTAACATCAATGGGATGGTTGGAGAGGTTCTTTGTGCTCTGGGAATGAGATCATGCTCTGGCCTGGAATTGGGGCTAAAAGACGGCTGAGAAAACAGAGATGTCAGGGAAAATTCACAGGGATTTTCCTCTTTCTCTATTCCAAGTGCTGAGCTTTTCTAAATTAATCAAAATCTTTAAAATATCCCGTTAAAATCAATGGGATGGTTGGCAGGTTCCTTGTGCTGCAGGAATGAGATCAGGCTCTGACCTGGAATAGGGGATAAAGACTCCTGAGAATGTGGGGATTTCAGGGTAAAATGGAGGAAAATTAATATTGATTTTCCTCTTTCTCTGTTTCAGGTGCTGGGCTCTTCCAAATTAATCAAGATCTTTAAAATATCCCGTTAACATCAATGGTGTTGTTGAAGAGGCTCTTTGTGCTGCGGGAACAAGATCAGGCTCTGACCTGGAACTGGGGAGTAAAAAACTGCTGAGAATACAGGAATTTCGGGGAAAATTCACAGTGATCTCCTTCTCCTGCTGTTTCAGGTGCTGGGCTCTTCCAAATTAATCAAGATCTTTAAAATATCCCATTAAAATCAATGGGATGGTTGGACAAGTTCCTCAAACTGCAGGAACAAGATCAGACTCCGGCCTGGAATTGGGGCTAAAAGACTGCTGAGAATACAGAGATTTCAGGGAAAATCCACAGTGATTTTCCTCTTTCTCTCTTCCAAGTGCTGAGCTCTTCTAAATTAATCGAAATCTTTAAAATATCCCGTTAAAATCAATGGGATGGTTGGACAAGTTCCTCAAATTGCAGGAACGAGATCAGGTTGTACCCTGAAATTAAGAATTAAAAACCACTGAGAATATAGGGATTTCAGGTGAAAATTAACATTGGTTTCCTTCTCACTCTTCTCCAAAGGTGCTGAGCTCTTCCACATTAATCAAAATCCTCACCCTAAACTGAATATCCTGTTATCAACAATGGCATTGTACAGTGGTTGGACAAGTTTCCACTTCCCACATTTTCAGGGCCACTTCCCAAGGTTTTGAGGCCGCTTCCCGAGGTTTGGGGCCACTTCTCGAGGTTTTAGGGCCACTTCCCGAGGTTTTAGGGCCACTTCCCGAGGTTTTAGGGCCACTTCCCGAGGTTTTAGGGCCACTTCCCACATTTTTGAGGCCTGGCTGTACAGAACGCTCCCGTCCCGTGTCAGAAATAAATCCAACCGACCGCGGATCGCTGACAGTTCCACCCACGCTCAAAACCACCCGACACATCCCAAGGGTGTCACTGCAGCAAAATCCAGGAACGTGGATGTTAAAAACCAGGAAACAATCTCAAAGGGAAAGGGAAAAAGGGTGAAATTGCTCCTGTGTGTGCAGCAGACAGGACTGAGGCTGCTGGAGGAGGATCCCAAACACAATTCTTCAGGAGCTGGCGGCATTCCCGGGATGGGATGAGCCCGAGGGAAGGTTCTGGAGCAGCCCCAAACCCCACAAACTGCACTCCCCCCACTGCTCCGGCCATAAAAACCTTTCCTGACCCGGCAGGGTTTGGTTTTAGGGACGGAAAAGGAAATTATTCCACGTCTGTGCCTTCCCCAGGCAGGACTCCCTGTAATCACCCTCCTTACTCATCTTCCCTCTGTGGCATCATGGATGAGGAATTCCAAGGTCAGTGGGATGGAACAACTCCCCGTAATCTCCTCTTGGAGTTAATTCAGGCTCAGGACTCAGTTTGACCCCTGAATTTTTATTTTAAAGATTTAAATCCAGCTTTGAAAAGCCCTAAATCCAGCAGTATCACCTAGTGCAGGGTGGCAAAATAACTCTGAGAGCTTCAAAAATACGGACACAAATTCCTCATCTGTTGCATTCCAGGATGAAGCAACTCCCTGCAATCATCTCCTGGTGTTAATTCAGGCTCAGAACTGATTTTAGCCCCCGAATTTTCTTTTAGAATATTTAAGTTCAGCTTTGAAAAGCCCTAAATCCAGCGTATCATCTCGTGCAGGGCGGCAAAATAACTCTGAGAGCTTCAAAAATACGGACACAAATTCCTCATCCGTCGCATTCCAGGATGGAGCAACTCCCTGCAATTATCTCCTGGTGTTAATTCAGGCTCAGGATTGATTTTAGCCCCTGAATTTTCTTTTAAAATATATAATTCCAGCTTTGAAAAGTCCTAAATCCAACGTTACCTCATGTGTGGCAGCAAAATTAAAAATATGGACATGAACAAATTCCTCATCTGCCACGCTCCAGGAATACAAAATTCCAGGGCCCTCAGTCCAGGCCTGGAGAATAAAATGGGAAATGGAGCCAGTTCCCAAAAAAAATCCCAATCGGAGAGTTACAAAGCACCAGGATTGCTCTGCTATCAGCAGGGTTTTTTAGGGAAGCTGCTGCCTCGCCAGGGTTATTAAAATTCCTTTCGTGAGTCACGTTCTGGCAGCCTGAGCTTGGCAAGGGGAGGAAAATGAGATCCTCCCCGACACCAGGATCCTCCTCAAACCCCAAACCCAATCAGGAAATCCTACAGAGCATCCCTCTCCTCGCTTCGGCACGTTAATCACTCTGCTTTAATTAAAATCACCCAAATTGGAGCAACACTTTGGTCAGCCTTAGACTACTTTAAAGCTCCTTTAACATCTTCACCTTCCCCTTCAATCTTCCATCTGGAAATGGGATTTTGGAGGAGTTTTCTCACCCTAAAACAAAGGGAAAACCCTCCCTGCAGCTCAGCAAACCTCTGTCCTGCACCTCTGCCCCACACAACTCCAAATCCCAACTTCTGGAATGGTTTAGGGAAGATTTGCTCCTCAGAGTGATTTTTGAAACTGTTTTCCAAACGAGCCTTTCAGTCACATCAAGTGACCAGAGAACCCAGGCTGAGCAGGAGCTCACAAAAGATAAAGATCTGGAAAAATCCCACAAATAGCACATCAGAGCCCTTCATCTGCCCCACACAACCCCAAATCCCAACTTTGGGAGCAGTTTAAGGAGGATTCACTCCTCAGAATGATTTTTGGAAATGTTTTCCAAACGAGCCTTTCAGGAGCCACATCAAGTGACCAGAGGGCCCGGGCTGAGCAGGAGCTCACAAAAGATAAAGATCTGGAAAAATCCCACAAATAGCACATCAGAGCCCTTCATCTGCCCCACACAACCCTAAATCCTAACTTTTGGAATGGTTTAGGGAGGATTTGCTCCTTGGACTAATTTTTGAAACTGTTTTCCAAATGAGCCTTTCAGAAGCCGCAGCGTGGCCACATCAAGTGACCAGAGAGCCCAAGCACTCACAGAAGATAAAGATCTGGAAAAATCCCACAAATAGCACATCAGAGCCCTTCATCTGCCCCACACAACCCCAAATCCCAACTTCTGGAATGGTTTAGGGAAGAT